AGACTGAATAGCTGTTGCTATTGGATCAAAGCTGCAGAAAAGTGATTTGAGGAGCAGAGTGCAACGAAATAACCCAGGAGGACCAGTGTTATTTACCTGCAGTCAAATCACATTCCTGTCCCTTTTAATCTTCTTGTATAACCTTTCTCCTAAACCTTTACACTGATGAAGGTTTTATAAGAGAAGGACGAAGAGGGACAAATCTTGAGAAACTGGATAAGAAATAATAAGGCAACTACTGTGCAGAGAACTTAAGCAAGCAACATTTGCTAAGGAAACCACCTTTCTTCTGAGTGGGCCAAGGCAGACCCAAAACAAGCAAACCAACAAACCCTATGGTGATGCTCAAATATAGAGCAGACATATGGGAATATAGTAGCTAGGAATTTTGAAGAAAGAGAGAAGGGCACCCAAAATCATTATTGCTGACAGGGATTTTGGGCAACAGGTTGCAACAAAACAGGATAAGATCACATTTTTCTGGTTCATACCTTGGTTTTTAGTGGTTACAATGGCAGAGGATGTCAAAGAGGAAGATTTTACAGCACTGGCCAAGAAGAAGTAACTTTCTCCACCAGGATAGGTTGGGTAAAGGATAAAAGGGTGAAGAGCATCCTGGTATGGCAAGAAATATACTGTTTCCAATTTTTTTTTTTTTTGCAAGGCTCTTTTTGAAATCCCAGAAAAATCAGAGGGACAGATATGGGTGCATATGCGGACAGAGCCACATGGAGAAACAAATCATGTTTTGATTGATTGTATCAACTGGCTTTCAAGGACTCAGTTGTATCTTAAACACAAACAAAAGCAGACCAGACAAGAAAACTCCTTTGGTTAAAGGTAAACAGCTATGAGAAAGTTCTCTCTCCATTTTTTCTTTTGCAGCTGTGAAAAAGCTGGAAAGGGAGGGGGAGTTTCATGCTTTTTGAACCATCCACTTTCCGCACCTTTCCTGTCTTAGTTACATTTTTGTGCATGATATAGACGTATCTAGAAATCTGGGAGGTTTGCAACCATTCTTTAAAAAAGTGTTCTTGGTATTTCATCGACAAGTTGGCATTTACTGAGCCTTGAAGACTGCCTTCAGAATGATTCACCTGATATTAGAACGATAGGTGTTCACACGGGAAGGGCCAGGAAAGGTCCTTAGACACACCTTTCCTGCAAAAATTGTGCATGAATCCCTACGTACCTTGCAAATACATATTTGCAAGTTCTGAATTTCTCCTATTATTTTACACTCAACCACAAAAAATGGTGAATCAATTGCATGGGGTGGGCTAAATGAATTTCAGTGTACACTGTTGGGTTTGTGTTCAAAAAGAATAAGGCACGCCATGCCCTATTGCAACTAGAGGGTATTCTTGTGGTCAGAGATGATAGGAACAATCTTTAAATGCCCATCTTTAACTAGGTAACTGTCTCCATCACAGTAAGAAACAAATGAAGGATCTGGTTGATGCCCATGAATTTGAGACCCCAGGAAAGGCAGGGGGAAGCCAACAAGATGAGAACTAAAAGTTACGGGAATACATAATATAACTCAAATGAGAGAGCACAGACATAAAATTCAGATGTTCACTGAAATAGTAAAAAAAAAAACATGTTTTCCAACTGTTAATTACAAATGAATACAAACTAGAGTGACAATTTTAAAAATCATTTCTGAGAAATGTATTTAGTCTATAGCCTCCACTTTAGAACTGATTTTGATCTACAGACCTCAGGGTTATCATCTATCCTAACTTTTAGGATTTTACTCCTTGTTGTAACTGTTTTTGCCTGATGACAAATGTGAAAGTTAGCATGTTCTTTGGGGTTCCCTTTGGTTGGTCTTAATAAAAAGTGTTAACTAGTTATAGATTAGAGCAGGGTTCCTCAACCTTGGCAACTTTAAGACGTGTGGACTTCAACCCGCAGAATTCCCCAACCAGCAAGGCTGGCTGGGGAATTCTGGGAGTTGAAGTCCACACGTCTTAAAGTTGCTAAGGTCTAGGAACCCTGTATTAGAGGATCCTTCCATTCCCCCCTCCCCAAACACTGCTGGAAGGGGAAATCTATGCTATTGAGTTCAACCCTTGCTCATATTAAATTGTCCTCAATTAAACTACTGAAATTCTGCTTGAACCCATCCAGTGAAACATCTCCTTAAGTTATTAATTTCATTGTTGAACTGGTCTTAGCATCCACCTCTTTCCGCAATATTCTGGTTCTTAGTTCTGGGAAGTTATAGAACAGATAATACCCTTATTTTATGAAATACCCTTTCAGATTTTTGAAGAGAACTAACATATCCTCCCTCTGTCTTTTTTTTGTCAAGGCTAAACATACCAGGTTTCTCAATCTTTCCTCGTGGGGCTTAATTTGAAGTCCTCTAATCATACTTTGCACCTGACCCAGGTTGCTTGAATGGGGTGTCCAAAACATGGTGCAGTACGCAAAGTGAAGTCTCCCCAATGCCAAATAGAGTGTAACTATGACTTCTCAAAATTTGGAAATGGTAGTTCTGTTGATGCATTCTAAAATTGCATTTGCTTTTTTAAAAATATAATTTATATTATTTAATATGATTTTTTTATCAGCCATATCACACCGCTGACTCACTTTTAGCTTGTGATCAACTATCATTCCAAAATATTTTCCATAAGTAATATAAGAAGCCAGGTTCTATACCAAGAAGTGATTTCTTTTTCCTACATAAGGAACTTAGATCTCTGTCAAAGGGGAGAACAAATTCTGTTGTTTTTCAGCCTAGTTCTCTAACTTATGAAGCTCATTCTGAATTTTGTTCCTGTCTTCTAGCACATTGACTAACTTTCCCAATTTGTATCACAAGCACATTGGATACCATTCCCTCCATGTCTTCATTCAGGCCATAAATAAAAAATGTTGAAGTATTGGATTCACAATTGAAGTATGTGATATCACCCTAGGTTGATGAAGAACTATTGATAAGCACCCTTTTAACATAGTTATGAAGCCAACTGTGGATGTCTCTAACAGCCATGCTGCACGGCCCATAAAAACTAGCTTGCATTACCAACATGGCTAAGACTTGTACTTGTGAATCTGATGAAATAGGCCTTTGATCATGCACCTATCTTTTAGATATTTTAGGCTGATCAAATGGTATATTATAGTAATTGACAAGGACAAACTGTGTTCATTCCCCTAGTACAATAGTGTGTATGGAACACTTTAAGTGTTTTGTCTTGAATGCTTTTGGCTAAAATCAAGTGTAGTATCAAGTGTATCATGGATGCTTGACTCAACTTTGTATATGTTAGCTTTCATCATTATATCATGGGAACCAAAATAATTTTTAACTGTGATCAGGTTAGGGTTATTGTATTTTATGTTTTGCTGTTGTAATGGTGGAGGATATCTTGTGCATTACTTGCTGTGATTCATTGCTTGATTTTGGGGGAGTTGTTTGACTTTGTTGACTTGATTGATTTCAACTTTCAATTCTTTCTGCTTGTAAGTCAGTATATTTTGGTTGGTTTGGAAAGTACACTGATCTCTTGGAAGTGGTAAGCTGTCAGAGATATGAGAGCTGTTTTCAGCAATATTGGGGATCATCTAGAGACTCCGACCTAGTACTCTTTAGAGGTTTTGAATTACAATTTTCAAAACCTTCAACCAACCTACAAATGGCCATTTTGCAGGTGCTGGTTTGACGAAAGCGGATCTGAAGACAGAATACATGCTTGTACACATGCATACACACACAGACACACAACACAGAGCTATAGAAACAGAATCATTACTGCCTATGCAAGGCTGGATCATTAGATCATGGCATATATCATAATCTGACCTACTTTAGTAACAAAAATTGCAGAATGTATATATCTTTCAAAGGTCTGACATTCCTCTCCTACCTGTCTGTGCAGCCAGGAACTAAAGTGATTTATTTGACAATGCCTTATGTGTGGTTTGTAGGAAGCTATAAATCAAACTACTAGCAGAGGGTATTCTTCATAGCTCTTGAATCTAGTAAGTATTTACAATGATGTGCTATTACCCTTAGTAGTACCTTCTACAGGCAATAACAATAGCAACACATCTCCTTAGTTGTCACTTCAACTGAAACCTATATCTGCTTTCATGACCTCTTGAACAATTAAAACAACAACAAAATCTCCTAGTGAACTGGTCCCTTCTAGCTATCCAAATACAAGCTTAATGTGTGTGCCCTGTAAGAAAGGATAAAATATTATCAAGCAATATAAGCATCATAATTCTTTAACAAGACAAAACCTATTTAGATTTTGGGCCTGAAGCTGTCTGGAATAGAATTTCTCAATTTTATCACCCACTTTGCACATGTATTATTTCCCTAGTAGCATTCACTCTACTAAAACGATTAGTGTCCCTAAGGTGATTACAGGGAAATTGCTGGAGTGTCCACCACAGCAATAAATACTCACTGTTTACGGTACCTGCTAGTGCATTAATATTATTCAATCCAACCGTTGCTCCAGCTAGTCCTTGTAGAGTCCCCAGAGAAGTCAAAGAATTCATTGCCGCCCCAGCTGTGGAATTTGCTGTTGATGCAGCCACTGGAATAAAAGGAGGAAAGAGAAGATAAAGTTATTCACTCCTAGAATGCCATAAACATTATGGAAAGCTAGAGAGTAATAGTCCTTTGACCAAAGTTCATGACACGTCACAATAATTGGCGAAGAAAGAATTTAAGGTATGGTTCCTCTCACTGATTTATCCATATGGTTTTATGTCCATTGCTTAGAGCACATATTTGGCTCAAAATTTTAATAAGAGATAGAAGAAAACCAATTGCCTACACTATGGTTTCATTCATGTGTTGAACTCAGATTTAGTGCAGCTTGCTTGCTTACAATTTAGCCTGATTTGTAGCCTTTCTTGTTTATTCAACAAACTGTGGTTAGAAATCCTGGTTTGGAGTGATTTTGATCCCACCATTTCAGCTGCATGCATATATAAAATGGTGTGTTATGAATAAATCATAAATCATTACAGGATATACGTTCAGAGGAGATTATTTTGACATGGAAATGGCAAATGCTACATTCATGAGTTCTCAGACTATCTGGCTTATGAAAACCTATTTGATACTGAAGGACAAATTACAAATTGCTGCCTTCCAGAGTTCCCCCTACAACAAATGAAATGGATACTACAACTTGGCGTTTCTGAATTGAATAAACTCACAGAATAACTTAATAAACAGCTGGTAGTTGTCCCTAGTTCTTAGAAAATTTGATGAACTGACATTGTAACACTGTTGGGCAGCTTTTCTTGATGTTCCATTGCTGGTTAGCTTAATTGTTAGAAAAGATGAAATATCTAACATTCATATATCCAGGGGCTTTGCTTTCAGGAATTATACCTTGACAGCGCTTTGTCCTGGTAAAAGCAAATTGATTATTCCTCTCTTCTGTGCTGGGAATATTATCCTTGTGTTATCAGTCTGAACATCAATAGTCAAGAAGAATATCATTCAGAAAGCTAGTTAGTACTGAAGCGATGAGTGAATAATGCCTATATGATTTGTGAACATTAAAGAAAGCTGTATGCTAGCAGCTGCAAGCTAAAAGCTAGATAGACCCCTTCCCCCCACCCCATATTAGTCTTTGGTACACAGAGTTTCAGAGTTAGATCTGTAAGTCCACGGCCAGACCTCAAAGCTGTTCAAATCCTTAATGGCCCACCAGTGATTAAAAATAACAAGATCCTGCTTTTGAAAGCTAATTTACTGCCCTTGTGGCTTGCTGAAGATTCAAGGAAAAGGGCACTCTGGAAAGGTGTAGATAGGATTAAGCCCGTTCCCTGACTCTACAACCTCACTCCAGTTCTGCAAAAATAAGTATCTCCTAGAACTCAGGTCATTTTCCAGGCTGGTGTGCATCAGCTTGGAAGGAATAAGATACTTTTTTGTGTGTGACTCATTTAAAATAAATAAAATAGGGACAGAAAAAGGGGTATAACAAAAACTACCTAGTCACTTCTACCTTATCTGATGGTTTACACTGTGATGGCTAACAGCATGAGAATCCTCTAGCATGACCTTGATTAGTTGACTTTTCAGCATCTGATAGAAATTAATTCCATGTGTCAATTTGCACATTAAGTGAGGAGGAGTTTTCTTCACCTCCATTTACCTGGGGGCATTCTACATAATGTAAAGAAAGTGCTGTTCACCTTATCTGGCAGACTCCATCCAGGTCTAAGCTGACATACTGTAAATAACTAATGGTCCTATTCCATGACCGAGACTTTTTAAGCACTAAGCTAATTAGTATTTGATGGATTAGATCTACAGGCCCACCAAAATGCATGGAGTTCTATTCCTGGAAACCCACCAATTGAGTGAACCATGAGGCCTGACTTGTGATTGCAATGAGCCACTTAATATTAAAACTCCTTCAGGTGAGCAGTTTTATTAAGCTTTAAATTAATTCTGACTGCTCAGGACTCACAGTCTGCTCCTGGTCACTGCTTCTTGTAAATGACTGAGGAATACATGGTAGCATGCCCACCCCTTTGTGCTGCCGAGTGGAAAGCAGGATTTGATAACTCCATGATTACAAATGATTGAACCAAACTGGTCATATAGCTGTGGAGTGAATTTGATATGTAATGGGTGCTAGCAACTGTCTTTCAGGGCTAAGTGTCTGTACAAGTGCAAAAAAGAAGAGAAGATCATATGGATGCGAAACTGGCATGAGATGGACTTTTGGTATGGTTGATCTGAAGAGTCTCCAGATCACTTAAACAAGCCCTTGCTTCCATACTTCAATATGTAGTATTAAGAAATCAAGAAAGGTTCTCATATTTTTTCTAATTACTTGGTGAAGCAGCTTGTTTGTAACACCATATTCTCATACTAGAGATGATAGCTTTCTTGTCCATCTCACCAACTTCCCCCAACTTTTTGCTCTGTAAACTTGCTGATATTTAATTTCACTGGACAATATCACCGCTCTCCCATACCCAGACAAATTGTTGGATGAATGGCACTGAGGTGCATTGTAACAGGAGGAAAATAAATTTGGGAAAGACTGCTATATACCGTACACACGCTCATCCTAAGGCCTCCTATTTTGCTGGTTGCTTTTATTTTCACAGTTAATTCAACAGAAGGGCATAAGGAATTTGAACCCTGGATCTGTGGTGTGGCTCAATGGCATATTGCCCTGCAACGTAGATTCCAGATTAGAAATCGTACCTTGCATACAATAGTGTGAGCAGGCTTGGGGTAAAACCTGGCTTTGGTTGAGCTGGTGGCATACTGGCCCAAATGTGTCCATTTAGATTGGTACTGGCTTTTATTGTTAGCAAGAAATGCTGCATATTAAAGCTGTTAACCTAGTTTGGTGACTAAAGCTGTTAACCTAGTCTGGTGAAAGCTGTGGCATATGGAAGATTGCCACTTTTAAAAAACTGCTTCAATATGCAAAGAAAAGGGAAAAAATGAGAGAAAAGAAAATGCAAAAAAAAAAAAGAGAGGAAAAAATCAGAAATGTACACAGTAAAAGTCACTCAGCAGGTGTTTCAAAATACACCTTCATTCCTTCCATCATACTGATAGAGAGCTAGTTTTTCAATGAACATATTATTGATCCAAGATTTTAATCCTGGAGACCCCCTGTCTTACAATATCAAAGAGTATTTTTTTTTTTTGCTGCGCTGTGCCCAGTAAATCCATTGTCCTTCATATGATAAATTCCAAATCCCTGGTATATAACTCAAAAGTGTGTTCACACCTTTAAATGATATTGATTTTTGTAACATCATACCAACAAACTTATGGAAATTAACTCCAAATGGGGTAATAGTGGGACACGTCCACTCATCCATTTCATGCTTCCAGTATAATGAAGTTGACAACCAACCTTTAAAAAATGTATCTGAAATGTCCAGTACACATAAAAGAAAATCTTCTGTTGAACTAATTCAACTTAAGATCATAAGAAACATACTTTGTATTTGAAATAAACATTTCATATTTTAAAGAACCACTGACTGTTAATATGGAATATTCCATCTCTTTGTTCCAAAGTTCTTGTAGAAAACTAATGTCTATCTTAACAATACTCTTTAATTTTATAGAACAATACTGTAGATTTAAAATCATCCCAAACAGATCCCAGTAGTGATAGTAGATCATGACTTTTAGATGCTGCTAATGCATCTGGACCAATTAGTGAAGCTAATAAAATGTTTTGACTGAATATTCTGCCATTTCACAGATTGGGGCAATCCAAATTCCTCTTGCAGTAACTCAACTGATTTAAAGACCTGATTAGCAATAAGCTGATCCAAATATTAACACCACTCTTTTCTCATGATTTCTAACCTTCTTCCCCTCCCTTCAGTTTACTTGCAATTTTCAAGCTGGGATTATCCCAGAGTATAAATTTCTCATGTGAATAAGGGTCAGAATGATAATTTGTCCCAACATCTTCAAATATGTCCTGGGGTCTTTAACCCTGGAAATACAATAAACCTATTGCTAAAAATGTAGTCAAACTCCTGGAATCATATCAAGAGCCATATAAAAACCACATATAGTGGTTTGGTAACTTGGACATTTGTTTTCCATAAAGAAGATTAAGTCAAAATATATGTCTAGTGATAATGCTGAAGATCAGGAAAGTTGAACCACTCATCATAACACGATAAAAGGAATTTAGATGGAAGATTGTTTGGCAGGCAAGAGGAATAAGTGGTAAAGAGCATGAATTGACAAATGAAACAAAAGTAAGAAGAATAGGTATATTGTATTTCTGTGAAACTAAGGGGAAGGATGAAAACGGTCTGATCTCATGGAGTGGAGTTGATAAATAATGCAGGGAAATTAAGGTGTAGTTTTAGTTATGAATGAAAACACTGAAATCTACATTAGAAAGTACGAACTGGTATCATCTAGATTGTTGTAGGTATGTACAAAAATAGGAACCTGCAGTTGGTGGTAACTGCATATTACATTTCAATGTATGGTGATAAGTTTTGGGAAAAATTGTGCAACATTCTGAATGAATGCATTACAAGGGAAAGATTATTCAACTTATCTGAAAAGAAATGATAGAGGTCAGAAAAAGTGATTGGCCCAGTCAGAGACTCAGGAATGAATAAGAATGGTGATATTTTGGTACCTGCTTAGAAAAAAAAGGTCTGCTTTAAATCTATTCTTTAAGCATTAGTCTGTTCAAGGGACTTGTGTCTGACAGGGAAAATGGAGAGAATGATTGCAAGTTATACATAAATAGCAAAACACCAGAGCAGGTAGATGAATGTGTGTATCTTGGCAGAATGTTACCAAAATGGGATCCTTTTACTGAGATGGGAAAATGGATGGAGAAATGTAAGAGATGGAAATGCTGCTAGAAGGGTGGAGGTACTGCATAATATGCTCCAAGGAACAAATGTTTGTTGCAAGAAGTGAAAATGGCTGTGCATAAGAATATGCTTCTGCTCACTTTATTATATTGAAGAAAGAATTGGATATGTTAGGGGAGACATACAAGTAAGTTGAATGCAGTGGGGATGGGATACTTAAGGATTGTGTGGTAAGACA